GCTTCTTCCTCCATCCCTAGGCCTTCCCCAGACACTCCCTCTAACTAGGTTAATTGTTCTGTTCCCTTCCTGCTAACACTGTGGCCTGGCCCACCTCCCAGGAAACAGGAAAGGCACAGAAATCACCTGGAGTTTCCACTCCAGCCAAGTTTCATCTTGAGCCAATGTCCCCAGGTCACTAAGAGAATAAGCTTCCACTGTATCCCCATTCAGGGCTCTGTCCTTTTGTGAGGCTGTTCTGTGGACAAGACCATGGGACAGGGATAGGCAGCTCCTCCATCCACTCTTATAATTTCCAGACAAGTTCTTCTGGCCTCCTGCACAAACAAAACCAATTTATCCAGATAGTGATTTGCAGTAAAGAAATATTTTAATGACTCCAAGTCTGCCAAACAGGAGGATGGAGGTTTATTATTACTTAAATCAGCCTCCCTAGTGGATCAGGGGTTAGAGATTTTCAAGGATAGTTTCAGGGGCACAGGACTAAAAAATGGGTACTGCTGATTGTTTGGGGATGGAATCATGAGGGCGGAGGGAAATGATCTGTTTGTGCTTGAATCCACCTCTAGGTGGGGACCATGTGACTGGCTGAGCCATTAGTCATGGGTATGGATGAGGTCAGCGGGTTTCCAGAATGCAAAGAATGAGAAACATCTCAAAAGACCAATCTCAGGTTCTACAATAGTGATGTTATTTATAGGAGCAAATAGATACAAATTTTGTAAACTCTGGGCAAATGACATTTGAGCAGTAAGGGATTATAGAAACTGTGCCTCCATTTTAGCAGAATTCAGTTCCCTCCTACAATCTTATTCTCATGGTCTTTCACCAGTTTTACAAAGGCAATCCCTGGGCAAAAGAAGGGTATTAGTGTTATGGAGGAACTATTATCATTCTTGCTTCAAAGTTAAACCATAAATTAAATTCCTCCCATGGTTAGCCTGGCCTATGTCCAGGAATGAGTGAGGACAGCCAGCCTGAGACTAGATGCCAGATGGAGTGAGCCA